GCCAACACCCATTGCCTCTCATTAGTTGCCCTTGACGAAGCAATTGTGAGCTGCCTTCTTGAACTCCTGCAATCTATTTGGTGTAGGTGCACCCACAATGCCATTCAGAAGAGAGATGCAAGGTTTTCTCTAATCGAATGTTGACAGCCGACTGAACAAGCTTTACATCTGAATGGTCATCTAACAAGCCATTGGGCTATGAAACCACTGTATAAAGGCATTTAAAAATGAGGCTGAGACTTGTCCTTCCTAGCTTGACAGAGTCTCCTGATTCATCTGTATCTCTTTGTCAGTAAATGCAAAGTATTAGATGAATTGATTAAATTTCTTCCAGTACTGACACCCAGTTCTCTGAGGAATCACCCAAGCCATTGTGACTGGCAGATCTCTTATTACAGTTACACAAGCAAATATAAACACTCTCTGCAATCCTACGCGCTAACATTTCAGCTGCAGCTTTGTACACTCTTTTATTTTGACATAATCATTTTGTTAATGCAAATAAAAGGCTAAATTAGTTATGCTATAAGGGAAATTGTTTTCTGTACCATATTTGATATGATTTCTGCTTTCACATTCACAGTGAGTACGGCCTCAAGTCAGCAGAATTCCAGCAGTTTATCAGATTCCAGGAAAGCGAGCAGCTAAATTGTTGTCTTACTTATCTTTGAATTCCAACTGAATCTTAATGAAATCGTAACTAATTTTCTGGGAGATGTTTTGCATCGAATCAATTATTCTTACAAACTGCAGGATAAAATCACTAACTAGCACATCATTTCTTCAATTCATACAAATGCAACATTTAAAGAAATACTCAGTGAACACAGTTAGATTTCAGAAAAAAAGAAATTCTGTCACAGATTGACTGTGCTGACTGAATTAAAAGCTCCCACAGAGAAGACTTGATCAAGATTTTGCATGCCTGTTATATGCTCCAACCAGGAGTAATATATAATGGTTTGGTACCTTGGAATTTACGCTTTGTTGGGATGCAGTATACATTTGACTGGAGTTGCTCAAAATGTGCACATTTTTTAAAAAGTGTTTCATCTGCCGCTGACCTCTAGAGGGACTTGCAGAACTTTACTTGGATATGCTTACTTCCGTATCAACTGGTGTAGGTATTGGCATAAAACCAGTGTTAACAGCTGAACCAACACGAAACCTCGAAGCACCATTTTAAAAAGACTGTTCAGTCTGTGAAATTCAGTAGTGTGCTGCAGGACAAAAGCTAAGTCAGGAAATGTGACCCTTCCCTTTCTCTCTTAAAGCCTAATCAATATGTTTCTTTCAACTTGGACAGCTCGAACACTTTTCAAATAGCATTTATATCCAGAGGACAAAAAGGAATGCCAACAAGTGAGGGAATAAGAATGCACAAGTTCAGCCAACCTCTCAGCATTCCTCACGTTATCTTGAATGCTGAGCTTTACAAGATAATTGTCTTTTAAAATGTCCTTCAACTTAACAAAGAAGGAACTGAAAAGGGGGGTGGTGAATTCCTGGCTGACGTCAGTCCTAAGATGTGACAACAACAAAAACAGAGTTCTGTAAGAAGTGTCACTGGATCCGACACATTGACTCTGCTTTCTCTCTACAGATGCTGCCAGACCTGTTGAGTTTCTTCAGCAATTTCTGCTTTTGTTTCAGATTTCTGTTATCTCAGGCTGCCAGACAGAGAGAAACTGAACAGGAAACCCATTGAGATGTAGAGTGTGCCAGTTTTAGGACCTTTGATAGTTCACAGGAAAGAAAAGAAGCTGCTGACAAGGAGATGCAAGGAAAACATTTTTTGTTGAAAATCAATCTGTGTTCATTCAAGGGTTCAGTCTCTGTACGAAAGAAAAGGAACTGAAAAAAGTAGATTCTTAAAGATTCAACGACAGGTGGAGCCATTGAGTTATGCCTTGTTTGTGATGATTCACTACCGAAAACTCAAGTGGAGTAGCACAATTGTCAAAGGATATTAGAAGTCTCGATCTTACATAGTAGGAAATATGAACGTTGGGTAGAGAGATAGGTGGAAATGACTTTGAGATTCTTGCCTTACTGTTACATAATTGCCCAAAGCATTTCATGGGGATTATTAAAAATGTTTTTTTTAGGAAAATTGCCCATTGGTCTCTTCAGGATTGGAATAAAGTCAGGAAATATTATTTCTGGGTGTGGGTGCTACAAAGTCATTGACAGTTAGTACCTGTGCCACTTAAGCTTACATTTGCCCATAGACTTTCTGTGCTTTTTGACCTAGAACTTGCAGTGATTAGACAGCCAATTTAGTGCATTGCCATAAACTCTGGGATTGAGGACCACTGCCAAAAGGCAGTGTATTATGTATCTCTTTATCTAATCAGACTGAAGAAACCCCACTGAGATTCACTGAAAGTAATCATGAAGTGTCAGAATATTTAATTCCATGTCAAAATAAAGAATGAGAAGGAAATATGGAATTAAGACAGAAATTTAAAAAAAGAAAAAGGCTAACAACTTCTGGGTCGTAGAGATACTTTTATAACTATCTGGATCCATCACAGCTTAGTACAGCAACTGCTCTGCTCAGGATTGGAAGAAACTATGGAGAGTTGTGAACACAGCTCAGTCCATCACACAAGCCAACCTTCCATCCATTGTCTCCATCTACACTTCTTGCACCCTCAGAAAGGCAGCCAACATCATCAAAAACCTTTCCCACCATGGTTATAATCTCTCCCAACCTCTTCCAGCAGGCAGAAGATACGAAACCTTAAATACTCATACCAACAGATTCAAGAACAGCTTCTTCCCTGCTGTTAATAAATGTCTGAATGGACTTTTCAAATTTGAAATCTCAAGTTCATCTTGCTTTTTGTGCATCTTCTTTGCAGCCATAACTTTGTAATCTCCACTCTGTTCAATCACCCTATGATCTTTGTATGACATAATCTGCCTGTATTGCATGCAAAATAAAACTTCTCACTGTACCTAGGTACATGTGACAATAATGAATCAAATCAAATCAAATCAAAACAAATCAAATCAAATCAAATAATTGCTGAAGACCTAGACTTAAGGAAATCCAATGGCAAGAACATACAGCAATTTCTTTCAGGTTCCACAAGAGTGGGCCTATGGAGAAGGGGCCAGATGGGTTGGAAGCAAATAGCTGGACATGGTTTTCAGTGTCCAACTCCTTGCTCCCCATCTGTCCTTCCAATTAGCCTGAGAGTGGGGAAAATGAAGATCCCGTACAACCCAGAAAGCAGTATGTCTTGATTTCCCTATCAGAAAAATAGGTACTTTTCTCGTCTGCTGGGAAGACAGCTGATTGGGGACGTAGCAGGTTGAGGCCCTTAAGTGATTGTTAATTGGCCACTTAAGGATCTTAATTGGTGGTGAGTTGAGAAGTTCCCTGAAGAGCTACCTCACCCTGCAATATATTATTGAGTGGCAAGGAGGTGATAAATATCTCTCTAGGGACAACTCATCACTTAGTGGCTTTCTCACCACCTTCTTTGCCAACTCCAGCGAGAGGAAAAGTTCACCAATGGTGTTTATTGTACTTTGGTTAAAGGATATATTTAGATCTGGTTTGGTCTTTTTAAACCCTTTCTCTACCGTATTATTTCCTATTTGCCTCTCTCACACCCTGGGTTATTGGAGTTATTTTTGTAAAGCCTCTCATCAACTGGGAGCCAATTGATACACATAATTAAGTGTTACATGATTTAAGGAACTAAACAGTGTTTTTATCTCTAAGTGTTTGGCCTGATATTTCAGTTCATTTTTAATTGGTGTCTGTTTTATGCAGGGATCTGGATTTTCAGAATAAATAAGCAAAGTTGATAAATTCTTATGAAATATTACATTTGAAAATGACAATTACATTGAGTTCATCTTACAATGAAAAATACTTGGACAGATATAAAATTCTAAGGTTTACAAAATCCAAAGGTTTTCAGAAATTTGATAGTATGCAAAAAAATCCTTCTTCAAAAACCCTTCATCTTCCAGCCCATCTAATTTTCAGCAAATTCCTTTTCTCGTTAAATTCTACTTTTCTTCAATTTTCTATCCACTTTGGAGTTGAACTTCAACAATACTTTAAAAAAGTTTTGAAATAAATACTTCCCAAAAGTCGCCACAGAAACAAAGAACAAATGTATTAGTAAAGAATGAATTTCTTGATGCAGTTTTCTTAAAAACAACTTGTACACTTTAATTCATTATATATCACTGAATAAAGCTCATAAAACAGCAAGGAGTTGCTTGCTGTAGGAGGGTGGTGTGGCAGTCATCCTGGTCATTGCCTTTTCTTTGTCTTGACAACTATGTAGGTAAATTGCATTTTTTAATACATTTCATCAACTGCATTGAATGCATTTCTGCTTTTACTGAAGGGGAAGCTGTCACCTACAACACTCAAAGATCCTAACTTTACTGAATTCATAAATCAGAGAATTTGTGGAATGTGAAAAATGGCAATAGAGCTACTCAGATCACAACTTTTGTGCTCATTAGTCCTTACTAGATTAGGCCATTTGCAGGAGACTACTATTCATTGAACTTCCTTTGATGAAGCATAAAATTTTAAAAAGTAACCAAACATGTGTCTATGCCATGCGTATGCTCAGAGGTAGTGGATGGTTAATTCATTGATGCAATGAAGTATTTTTAAAGTTTATTTGCTCTAATTGTAGTATTAACTTAAGGATTAATTTAAAATATATTTGTTGTCAATCTCTGCTGAAGTAAACTGCAAGGGCATTGTGCAATGATTATCGATACAATTTGTTAATTCTTGCAGACTTTTCGAGAGGGAAACATTACTTCATTCAATTTAACACTCCCACATTTACCCAGTTTGTGAACAAAAATACCAAAAACATCAACAGAGGACAACTGAAATTTGCATTTGAATTGGGAGAGAAGGAATGTGATTCTTGTTATAGTAGTGATGATAAGACTTGAGTACCTTAAGTAGAATTCTGCCACCAACCTTTCTTCCTATATTATTCTAGGGCCTTCCGAGTAATTTGTGTTGAAGGATGAATCACAAATAAGTCTCAGTGGAAGAGATATTTGGCTAACAAGGTAAGATTTATTACATCTAAATAACTGTATACAGGTTACATTACAATCAAGATAAACAAGGAATAAAAGACATGACTGTCTCCAAATATAACTGTCCAGAACAATCCAAGAGTGTCTGATGCTCCAGCCATTGTGTGTATTAGATAGTAGAGTGGGCAACTCTTGAGTTTAGCTCAAATTAACCCTTTCATGTCCATTATATTACACAACAATTCCAAACCAGAAGCAGACCAACACACTTAGGGTAACCTACATGGAAACAATGTTTTCAGTCAACATTCATTAAAAAGACTACCTAGAAATCTAGTTGTCCTTGAGTTGGTGATAATTAGAGACAGTTACAGGCAGAAACGGATTAAAATTAATTTATTAATTAATTTAAAATGATTTTGTTTTATTTATTTGATTTAGTTGTTTATTGTCACTTGTATTTCGTTACAAAATATGGTGAAAAGTGTTGTATAATATTGCCACTCTCCAGTACCATCTTAAAACACAGAAAAGTAGACAAAAACATTGTGTATAAAGGCAGTAAAGTTAAAAAAATAAAGAAAATGCGTTCATCTTTACAGTTCTTGTTAAGTGCTCAGCCATGGGCCATGAGCCTGGTGGCCAGGTACAAATCCCTTTCACTGCACCAATGCGACTGGAGTGAATGTCCCCACTCTACGCCCCATCTCACCTCCACCAGAAAATTAAAATACTCAATCTGTTTTATTAGAAGTTTGCATCATTATACTTAGATTTGTATTGTTTACATTGCAAACTAGCACATCTACTGAATGTGTAGCTACTGGTACATGTGTTCCCAAACTCTTTCTTTGATGACAATGTACTGTTTAGTGTAAGGAACTTAATATTCAGAGAACTAGCGACATTACAGATACATAGAAGTATAAACACTTGGAACCAATCCTTTACAACTGCAAATGATTCTTTCCATTGCACAGAAGTGTTAGCAGTGGATTAAAAGTAGCACTCTCATTATTGACTCAGTAGAAAGTCCCATTAGGGAATAGAGTATGAATTCCAGGATGAGACCCTAGTATAGGATATAAGAAATACTGCACTGCTGAAGTCAGATAAGGCATCAAACCAACTTCCCATCTGTGATCTCAGATAGTCATAGAAGAGCAGGAGCCTTCTAGCCAATATTTATCCCCAAGCCATATCTTTTGAAGCAGTTATCTAACCATTATCACATTGTTTGTGAGAATTTACTGTATGCAAATTGGGTTGTACATTCCTACATTACGCACAGTAACTCCTCTTCACAATACTTTGTTGGCTGTAAATACTGGATCAAGGTGGTGAAAGGTGTCAGATGACTGTCCATTTTGTTTTTGTTCAGTAAAGAATAGCATACAATAGAAAAGTGAAGAAGAGTAGTAAACACACATGCTGCTCTCCCAAGTGATTTATAATGGGAGTATAAAAGCGTCTTTCTCTAATGCACATAATTGGTTTACAGTGACAGTGAGATGCAATAAAGGGTATAAACACAAAACGTTGACTTTCCTGCTCCTGTGATGCTGCCTAACCTGCTGTGTTCCTCCAGATCCACACAGTATTAGTGATTTTTGGAACATGAGCACCATCATCGGATTGCAAGTTCAAGGCCCTACTGTATGAAGTTCTCGTTATCAGCTGTATGTATGGAGAGACATTATGGAGACCAGGCCCTGTTACTACAGAGAGAAGAGAAACCCAGCAGACTAGCCATCATTCCTAGTACTTACCTTATTATATTTAGCATGTCATTGCACCTAGTCGTCATTCACTTTTCTGGTTGTGCAATCATAACTTGCCAAATAAGACTTTTTTCACACAGTTGTACAATTATTAATACATGCACATGATGCAAATTATGCACAAAAGCAAGGTTCATGCTCCTGTGGCAGCTCAGAGACATTATCTGTGAAAGGGTCACTGGAACTGAAACATTAATTCTGACTTTTCTCCACAGATTCTGAGCTTTGCCAGCAATTTTTGTTTTTGTTTCTCAATTCCAGCATCCACAGTTATTACAGTTTTTACATTACCTCGATTGGTTGCTTCTGAATAAACTGTTTCAAATGACGTCAAGAGCACCTGGTGCTTTGTGGTTTGTTTCCAATCGTGAATAATGTTTGGATTTTCTTTGTGTTAATTGTGACCTGTCTGTATTAGGAAGATTTGTGTCTATCTAACAGTGACTCTGGCTCTGGTAGGTTTCTGTAAAGCTGCTTTATTTCCACAATAATACATTCTCCACTGTTAGGCAAGTCAATCTCTTTCTGGTACAGACACCTCTTTTCTCTGTTAATATCACCGTACATCATCACATGCATCACTTTCTCATTATTCTCTCGCTGATATCTGGACAACAGGAAATAAACACCTGTCTTTCTGGTTGTACAGTTTAAAGGTTGGACTGAAGGGTCTGTTTCCATGCTGTATGACTCTACGACTCTATGTGGCGACTCATACTTGTACATTTTTAGGGCCATCAAAGAATACCAAGCCAATTGGCGAAACCTGCCTGTTGTGGTTTCTTTTATGGGGATAGTTTTAGGAAGAAGTCATCCTGTATTATTACAGTTTCTAGTGTTCCCAGAATATTGTAATTGCCTACAACAATCTCCACTGCCATTGTCTTGTAACTATGTCACTATAGCTCACATATGCAACTTTAATATAGATTTTGTAAATTCTTGGCTGTTGGTTCTTGTGTGTCCCTCTTGGGCATCTGATAACTGCCTTCCCAGCAATAAATTCTCTAATTTTGGATCTAATCTTTTCCTTCCACTCATCCTCTCCCATCTATCTAGTTTCAATGATACTTTATTGATGCACTATTGTTGCCCACAAGTCCTTTTATCTTGATTTAAATGAAGTGTAGCTTCTCTCTGCTATGTTAGTCCTTTGAATTCTGGAAGGATGCCCAGCTTTTATGATAGCATTGCTGTATCGATGGCACACTTCCAGAAACTCATTTATCGCCTCAGTATTTTTGGTGCACTCCACTGTTTCTCAAATAACAGAAATACACAAGAGAACTAGAGACACATGTTGCCATTCCTTAATTGTTACTACATCAAAATCCTGGAACTCCCTACCTAATAGCATTGAGGAGTATCTTCACAATATGGATGGCACTGGTTCAAGAAGATGGCTGACCACCACCTTCTCAAGGCAATTAGGGATGGGCAAGAAATGCCAGCATTTCCAACAGAGAAGACCGAGAGGAAGTTTGATCGATTATGACAGGCTTAGTTAAGGTAATCAAGGAAAACTCTCCCATTTGGATGATGGCACAAGGAATAGGGGGCACAGATGTAAGACTTTAGGCAAGAGAAATGTGAGGAAGAACATTTTTACGCAGTGAATGCTTAAAGACCTGGCAAAAGGACGGCACGGTGGCTCAGTGTTAGCACTGCTGCCTCACGGCGCCAGGAACCCAGGTTCGATTCCACTCTCAGGCGACTGTGTGGAGTTTGCACATTCTTCCTGTCTCTGCATGGGTTTCCTCCGGGTGCTCCAGTTTCCTCCCACGATCCAAAGATGTGCATGTTAGGTGGATTGGCCATGTGAAATTACCCAAAGTGTTCAGGGATGAGTAGATTAGTTGGGTTATAGGGGGAATGGGTCTTGGTGGATGCTCTGAGGTTCAGTGTGGACGTGTTGGGCTGAAGGGCCTGTTTTCACACTGTAGGGATTCTATGATTCTAAAAGGGTGACTGATGCAGAAGCAAGCAATGTTATCAAAAGTAAACTGAATGCGCACTTCAACCAAATAAACTTGCAGAACTAAGGAGATCAGGCAGGTCAAATGGTCTGACTGGATTACTTTCAGGAAGACCAGATGAATTTGGTGGGCTGAATGGCCACCTTAATGACATAAATTACTTTTTAAGTGGAATTCTGTGCCCTTTCTTCTGGTGCATGAAGATCCAATCACCTTCCTATTCCACTCTGATTAAGTCATTTAGGGTTAAGAAAGGACATACCTTTATATAGTATCTTTATTACTTTGGGATGCTCAAGCTATTTTAATGCCAATGAAACATGCCGTGAAGCACAGTCACTGTAGTGGCATCAAACCTTTCCAGTGGTGAAGCATTACCCTGTTCCAGTTTATCTCTGTTATCAATTCCTATAGCTTTCAATCAACTACTACACTTTCCAGCTTTATGCTGCCTGGTGTGATGTTAGAAAACTCAAAAGGTATGCAGGACCCTCCTGAGAGACAACTGTGTCTTTTCACTGAAGGTGCCAGGTCATGACTTAAAAATGAAGTTACAGTGGTTGTATTTTCTTTTAACACATTTTCACTTTTAATTTCTGTTCGTTAGTTTATACATTTTTCTTTTCCCAAGCAACGAAGGGAGTGCTGGTTTAGTGCATCTTTAACCCCAGCCTTCCTGATTGAACCGAATTAACAGGCACAGTTGAAATGACATACTTGCTTTGGGTCGCTTATGTCGGTTCGACTAACTTACACTGCTGAGTTCAGTAGTCACTTGAATATATTTTCCACGATATAACATGTGTTTTGATATTTAAGCATCCAGTAAAATACAAGTCAAACTCACGCAGTAAAAGGAAAAGCATCCATTTGCATTTTGCTTTGTGCTCTGTCTGTATGGTAGTTGATTCAATAGTAACTATCAAAAGAGAATTGGATAATTAGTTAAAGGGGGAATACGCAGGGCCTTGTGCAAAGAGCACAGCCTTGGCATTAATTTAGTAACTCTACCAAAGAGACAGCACAGGCATGAGGGATGAATAACCTCCTTCTGTGCTGTAAGATTCTATAATTCTTTAATTCTTCATTGCCTTTCTTTTCTTCAGATACCAGTTCTTCAGGAGTTAGTCACTCTCTAGTATCTCATCCACAAAGCTAATTGTCATGATAGTTCAATGATCTCAACATGAAAATACATGAACTGTGGTCTTTAAAATGAAATGCTGAATGCTGTAAACCTTTTATTTCTATTTTGTATCTTAAGGCAACAGTCGCTTGGTAGTACAGAATTTGAATATTGCTAAAATATTGCTGAAGATTTTCAACTTGCACTTGATAAAACAAATGCCGGAATGGTCAATTTCAAATAATCACCATAATATATAAAGGAGTAAAGGGTGCTGTGTTTTTTTTTCACATTGACTCTGATTGGCTGGGGCATTGCCACAGAGAAAACCCTGGGTAATTCAAAGGAGTCACAAGGCTTGAACATATTGCTTTTGCAAAAGTAGGGTCCTTTTGTATGAATAAGCTGTGTATGAACTTCTGGCAGACATATATGTGCCCTGTCAGAAGCTTTACTGATTATTTTAAGCTTAGTGTATCTATCAGTGCATTAAGAGTTGTTTAGCAAGCGGTACCAGATGGTGGAATCATATCTTAGTGTAGGTATTTTGCTTCGGCTTTTGCAGACACAGGTTGGTTAAAAACAACTGAAGCAACACGCAGTTTGACTCAGTCAGCCAGTCACTGAGATCTATGGCCTACGTACCTGACATTGCACCAGCACTCAAATTCATACATGACCTTGCTCAATTGTATAGTTGACAGAACATATTTTTGGAATGATGGTAGCATCCAAGACATTGCATAGCAGCATTTCTGTATCAAGCCTGCAAGGTAATATATGATTAAGCCCCTATTTACAAGATTGTTGATGGGACCAATCTCATAGTATGTGGAGTTACGCAAATTCCAACATACATGTTGACCAGTAAAGGTATGCTTGTGGGATTTTGATTTTAATGCTGAATGCATAGGTTTCACAGACTTCCTGGATGTGCCCAAGCAAATCAAGGTGAGACGGCTGTGGGCGTTCATGGATCCTAAATATTGACCAGCAAGAAATGATGTAAATATTGAGATGTATCAGCTGCTTTCTTGCCTCTGTTTGCTTGCAGGTCTTGTTCTGAGGGTGTACTTTAACTGCTTTGTAAGTGATTTCCAAGACTTTAGAAGGGGCTTCTGCTACCTTGGAGATTTTTGTATTGCTCTGCACTTCCCACTGTCGGCCTTCTCAACAGCATTGGAGCTGCGTATCCATCTCTACTTTGCACCTCTGCTGAGGAACAATGGGGACAGCAGCAGGAGCAGCAACAAAAACAGAAATTGCTGGAAACCTCAGCTGGTCTGGCAGCATCAGTGGAGAGAAAGCAGAGTTCATGTTTTGGGTCCAGACACTTCTTCAGAAACCGAAATGTTAAACTCTGCTTTCTCTCTGCAGATGCTGCCAGACCTGCTGAGTTTTTCCATCAATTTCTTGTATTTAGTTTCTGATTTCCAGCACCCACAGTTCTTTTTTTTTAATCAGGATCAGCGGCAGCATCTTTTTCCTCAACCACCCGTTCTTTACAAGGCAGAAGAAATTAGCACAGACCTTCTGCTGGCTAAATCAATTTCAAGACACTAGGTTAATATGAAACTAGATGCTATTCGTTTCCTGATGGTAGATTTATTAATTGAATGCAGAATTGCATATACCCGTTTAACTTCAACTATGTAACAGCAGTCTTTCTTCATACGTGCTTTAAGATATTTTCTAATGAACTTTTTCAGAGATGTTATTGCACACTTTTACCACATGGAAGAGTTGAGATGACTGGCATGGAAGCAGTTAGATTGGAAGCTAGATAACACATTAGGTGGAAAGGTATCAGAGGATGGAAAGATATGATTAGATGGACAAGAGTGGGAGGGGGCTGGTGTGGAGCATAAACACCAGCTCCACTTGTCCCCAAATAAACTGATTGCTCAGTGCAACGTCTGCATGGTTAATATATGAAGCTGAGGGTTTTATGTCTAAATGCGTGAGAGCACAATCATTCACACTTCACTGATGAATATAAATGCTTTAATCCCCCAGATAGGGTCACTCCAGCCTGCTTTCTCATTGACAAAATTCGTTAATTTGAACAGCAATCAAGCACTAAGAAATTCTTTTCACTTAGCATCCCCAAAACTTATCATTCACATCCAATTAGACACCAATTAACCCAAGTGAGCGGCAAATCTAAAGTGGGAATCCGAACAGGTCACTCAATCTGTCCAATGTTGAACGCCTTCAGATTGTGTG